ATAATTATCTAATTAATTAGATATTTTGTTAAAATAAATACAAATATTTTAAAGTTAANATTTTTTTTTAGTTTGTAATTAATATTGTAAATAAAAAATTTTAAATCTTTATATAAAAATAATTTATATTCTATATAATAAATAAATAATTTCATTAAAACTAAATAAAAGTTAAAAATTTAAATTAAATATTTAAAATATAATTATTAAATAACTAAAGATATAAATAAAAATATATAAGAAATTATTAAAAAATTTATTATTAAAAATTATTAAAAAAAATATTAGTTATATCAATTTTATTAATAATAACATTCTATGAAATAAGTAAAAATTTAAGTATTTACAAAACTAATTAAAAACTTTTTATCTTCCGCAAACGCATAATTAATAATTTCCTTGGCAAAACTTTTATGATCAATTATCTTGAATATGTAAATATATATAAAAATATGTATTTATGTATGTATATAAATATATTTATATATTATTTTAATATATAATTCTTATTTACTAATTATTCTTAATTTAATATATATATAGGCTTTTATGGTAAAATATTTATAAAACACTATCTAATACTTTCATTAAAAATATTAAGAATAATTTCAGAAACATCATCTTCATTTTTATTTGAATTATATTTTAATTTTTAAATTTTATCTTCTTTATTTTTATCGTTTGCAAAGAATATTTAAATAACAGAAGTAGATTTAATTTATTTTGTACCATTAGGATTTATTAAGGAGTAAAGCTTTTGTACTTTATTATATAAATTATTTAAATAAGGAATATTTTTATTAATATCTTTAATTTTATTTCCATTCTAGTATATTAAACTCTAATAGTCTAAATCTACAAAAATATGTTCTTAATATTTTTTTAAATACCCTTTTTATTCTAAAAATTCTTTTCCCTAATTAATTCCCATTATCAAAGGTACTGGAGAATCCATTAAATCCAATAACAATTCAGGAACTAAATAAATAATAGGATGAGGCCATTAAAATGGATAAATTAATTATTCAAAAGTATGTATAGTCTAAGTTAAAAGACATTAATTTTTTGAAAAAAATATTACTGTACTTTCATTTAAAATAGCATAAAAAATTAACATTAAATCATCGAAAAATAAATTCGATAAAGTTAATGTTAAGCTCCAATAATGTGTTTTTGTGTTTATTATATTATAAGGTTGAATTTGATATTTTATAGACCCAAATTATGTTAAAATATTTATTGTTTCTTAAAAATTTATTAATGTTATTTCTTATTGGATTTTTAGTATTTAGTTTTCATGTTCTTATTTTATTAAGCTTTATATGAAATCACCATCTAAATCAAATAATGCTTTATTTTATTTTTATATTTTTTGCTCATTATATATTGTTATTCTTTAAATTTTAATTTAATCTATTTTTTTTATTTATACAATATATTTTTTTAAAAAATATTTTTTTTACTTATCATTTTAATTAATAATTATTAAAATAATGTATAAAAAGGGAAATATGTTACATAACAAAAAACTTTATTTCCTTTCCAAAAATTTCTAGTCTATTTATTTTATTACAAAAAGTTTTCTTCTATATCTTCTGTCTTTAAAAAATTATATATGTAAAAATATATTAATTTATTTTATACATAAAAAAATTATATATATATATATTTACAGTTTCAACATAATCCTATATTTTAACACAAAAACAATACAATAATTTATGAGGATTTGTTGCATTTAAAATGCAATTATTTTAATCATTTGAATTTCCATTATAATAGGATTCATTTTTAATTGTGAACATATAAAATTAATCATTAAGTTCACTTTTTATACCACTAAACAAAATTCTATAAATAAAAAATGTTTTTAAATTTTTTTTTTTTTTTTATTTTAACTCTTTTATTTAAGCAAAAGATTAATTAATTTTTATTTTTTTTGCTTTTACTCCAAAAGGAAAAGCAAACTAAGGAAAAATTGTACTTTTTTATAAAAAAATAAATATATTAAATAAAAAAAATTATATATAAAAAAAAAAAACATGTATAAATAAAAAAATACATATTGAATTTAACTTTTAATTAACTTCCTAAGGATAAGAATAGAGTATTTTTCCTGGCAAAATGGCTTAACTTACTTATAAATTTTAATCAAATTCTTTCATATCTTATTTATCAAAGCCAAAAACATAAAATTTCTAAAATAACTAATTTTCTAAACAATTAGAATTTTATTAAAAATCCAATTTATTTTCTAAATCAATATCATTTTTAAATTAATTTTATTCTATATAGGTATTTTTTTCAATAAGATTATCCTATATTTAATTTTAAGAACTAGTCTATTTTATTTTAACAATTCCCACGTCTAATAAATTAATTCTAAAAACAGGACCATTTCCTTACTTTTAATAAAATAAAGGAGAATTGGATTATTATAAATTATTATATTCCTTTTCGTAATTTTTTGCTACAATTGACTTACCCATAGCTACTATAACATCATGACCTTTTTTTTATATATATGAAAAATAAATGTTATTTTATATATATTTATTTATACCAATTTATTGTTTAAAAATCGAAACCTAATTTATATTATTGCCTATTTTTTTATCTGCTTCTTCTTCAGAAGGTTAACTATCTGTGTTTTTTTAGGTAGTATTTTTAACTTCAAATTCAAATATAGTTTATTATTTTTACTCAAAATCAGTAAAGGACTTGGGATTTATGGAATTTAAAGTTTCAATTAAGTTTTCATTATTTTAATATTATTGTAATTAAATTAATAATTTACATGATTTTTCTTATTCGTTTTTTAATTAAAATAAATGCTTTTTATTTTATTTTTTAAAGAGGTCTATTTCAAATTATAATTATTCAATTTTTGTTTAAAGTTAATTGCTTTTTTGCTTTTCTAATTCTAATTACTTTTTTATAACAAAAAATTGTATACTTTTATTAAAAAATTTATTACTAATTATTATTATTAATTTAAAGCTTTTAATCTTTCAATTTATTTTTCATTTTTGTCAACTAACTATTATAATAATTAATTTTGCTTAAGTACTTAATTTAAATTTATCATATTTATATTTAAATAAAAAATCTTTGTAAATTGTAATTAAATAATTAATTTTTATTATATATATATAAATATTAAATAAATTTATATATATATATAGATATTTTTATATATTTCAAATTATATATTAAAATAAATATTTTTTTTTTTTTTTTTTCAATTATATTATAATTATATCATATCAAATTTAAAACTCGAATTTTCAAATAAATCAACTCATTCATATTTTTACAAATTTAATATAATTAAGCAAATTAATTAAAATTATTTTTCTATAACTAATGAACAAAAATTTCATTATTTTTTTAAATTTAAACAAAATCTTTATTCAATTCCTCTAAGCAATTGTTGTTTTAAATAATTTTTTATAAAAAAAATGTTATTTTAGACATTTCATTATTTTGTAACCAATCCATTATTATATTATCATCAAAAGTGTTAGTAGTCTTCATCAATAAATACTTATTTTTTACTAATTTATTATTAATTTATTACACAATTTCCTATTTTTATTTAATACTAGAATTTTTTTTTTATAATTTCTAAATTTATTCATCTAAATTCTAACAAATTTAAGCATGTAAGCTGATTTTTTCTTAAACCACAAACTCATAGCAATTAGTGCAATAAATATAATATAAATCAGGATTAGCAGTTTATTTGTTTAATTTTGTTATACTTTTTTTATTAATTTTCTCTTAAAAATCCTCATTATGTTCAGAACAATATTATTTTTCTTAGATTTAATTTATTTTAGGTGTAATTTTATTTTATAATTTCGATTCCTTTATTTATTTTAAATTTAATTAGTACTTTAATTTTTTTTTTTTTTTTAAAAAAAAAATACTGAAAACATTTGTTATTATACAGTTGGTTATTATAGTTAAAAATAGCTTTATAGTTAAGTACTTTCTGTTTTATATTCAGATATCTATTTTATTTTTTATTCTGCTATTACATACTTATAATCCTAATTTATATATATAAATTTATATTATAAAATATTAATAAATATATATATTTTATTAACATTTTTAACTCTATTATTATTAATATTAGATTTTTATTATTTATATCTACAATCTTATGTTAAATTTGAATTTTCAATAACTTCTTATATTTAATTAGTTTATAATGATTAATTATATTTTTAATTAATAATAGCAGAAAGTCTATTTAATCTAAAAAAATGAGATTCAAAGTTTTATAAGTTTTTATTATTAAATATTTTATTTATTTATTATTTATTATAGTTTTCAATCATTTCTTTTTTTTATATAATATTATTTTATTTAAAGATTTTTTTTTAAAAAATACATTAAAACTTAATTATATATGAAATAAATTAAATTTATATATTTTATTTATATTATAATATTTATTTATTTTAAAAAAAAATATATAAATAATTTTTATTTTTTAAACATATTTTTTCATTATTTTTATTATTAATTCGGTTCTTCACATAAAATTTATTCATTTTCAATATTATCTGTTAAATTATTAATATCCTATAGAAAAAAATCTATATAAATTTTTAATTAAATATATATACTAAAGTTATTTATTCTGTAATTTGATCTTTTTTATCCTAATTAACTTTTCTTATTCTAAGACTATAAGTAGCATATACAGGTCTTATAAAAATATATTTATATATATAAAAATAAAATAAAACCTGTTTTCATTAAATTATAAGTTATTTAAATCATAATTTATTTATTAAAATTAATTTCCGTATTTACTACAAAGCATAATTCTATTAGTCCTAAATATATATATATATATATATATATATATATATATATATATATATATATATATATATATATATATATATATATATATATATATATATTATTAACACAAATTAATATATAGTAATTTTATTTAATATTTTTTATATATAAAATACCATGCAGGTGTAAAATTAGTATCATAATCATTTGAATTATCTAAATACTTATAATTAGGTAAAAATTTTATTTATTATTCATAATATTAATCTAATAATTACAAATTTTTCTTATTAATATTAAACTCATCATTTTCTAATAATATATTTAAACTTTTCTCTGCTTTTTCTTTATTTGATAATTTATTTTATTCATAATTTTAAATACATTAAAGTATTTAAGTATTCATTAATTAATTTGAATATCCAGTATCTCCAAAAAGAAAATTATAATCGATATATTCTAATTTATCATTATATTTTGAATAAGACTTATTTTATTTATAAATTGAAGAATGTAAACTTGATAAATTCTATAATTTATACTTTGAATTTCCTTAATCTAGATGTATATTCATAAAATTTAATGAAGTATCATCTAAATTAAATTTTATTGCTGTACAACCCTTAGATAAAAAATATTATATATAAATATAAAAATTAAATTAGAAGTTATTTGTAAAATTTAAATAAAATTATAAAAATATAAATACTTAATTATTATTATTAATAGATAATAGCATAGAATCTTCTTTTATTTTTGAAATTTTTTCTTTTAATATACTTTTCCCAAAAACCATTATTAAACTACTTCCTAATTCTTTACTAGAAATCAAATAATAACTATCATATTAATTCAAGCATTTCAAAAATCCACTATTCCATTTTTTAATTCTTAATTCATTACCAGTAGCAGTAAAAGTACCAATTACATTATCAATAACATTATTATGATTATTTTAATAAATTAATGATTATAGACCTATTAAATAATAATAATATATATATATATATATATATATATATATATATATATATATATATATATATATTTATATATATATATATTATTTTTATTTATATAATATTACCTATTACTATTATATCCCCACTTTGTCCTTTTTGGAATTTAAAAAATATTTATTTTAACTAAAATGATGAGGTGGATAATCTAAACCTTTTACATTCCAAGTTATAATTTATAGACTAATATTATAAAATACGCAATATTAATCTTATTTATTCATAAGTTATTTTTCTACTTCTTCTTCGAAAACATTTACTATATTATTTAATTATTATCCTAAAACAATATCTATCGTTTCTTATTTTATTGTATCCTCAAAATTTTATAAATAAAATCGAGAAATTGTTTTTTATCCATGTTATAGCATTCCTTCAAAATCTCTTTTTCCTTTCTTTGTAACATCAGTATGTGTACTTCCTGTACCAGTATAATGCTTCGAAATATTATCACCGCAATCCGCCCATGCGCACTTGAATTTAACCATAAAAGGATGGTTAGTTTTTATATTATTATTATCTAAATGATCCAATGGTTCTTCATTGAACTCTTCTTTTAAAATAATATCCAATTACTAAAGCTATACATCTAGCATATCCAACCCAATTTTATTCTAAAATACATTTGTCCTATCAAGACAGTCTAAACAATTTGTCCTAACAACTCCATTTTATTCCTAAATAGTTTCGCCAGTTTAAATATCCTCAGCAAAAAATCCGAAATTAACAGACATTTCATGCAACTCCTTTATAGTAGGATTGACCTTCTCATATCTTTGATCTTTACAAACTGTGTGAAAATCGAAAAACCTATATCGAACAAAATCTAAACAGTTATTCTTTAAATGAGCTTCGTAAGATTCAGTTACTAATTGTTCATTTTCATTGTGCTTTTTCATTAGGTTTACAGATAAAACATATTTATAAGTATTTCTTAAATCATCAAAGTGTTTTAAAAAAGCAGAATTAGTATATTCGTAACCTCGTGTTATTTTTGTTTTTGCGGAAATTCCAGTTTAACCCCAAAATGTAGGAACAGTACTTTTGAATAATTATAAAAAAAAAAAAAAAATTATTAATAATTTATATTAATTTTTTAAATTAATATAAAAAGATTTAATTTAAATATATTTTATTATTAAAAAAGAATAAGATTTATGTAAATAAATTAATAATATATATTTAATAATCATAAGTTACCCTCTTATTTATATATGTGAACAACAATAATTTTAATAAAAAAAGAATTATTCTATTTCAGTAAAATTAGCAACATTTCCTTCTTCATCAATACCTTTTTAAAATATGTACATAAATATAATAAATATATGTATGAATATATACAAATAAAAATATATAAATATATATAAATATAAATATAAATATAAATATAAATAAAATATAAAATATAAAATTATATCTATATGTATATATATATATTTTTATATAAATCATATAATATAATTTTAAAATAAAATCAATAATTTAATAGTATTAAATAAACAATTATATTTTTTTAATAGAAATTTACTTTTCTTATATTTTTTATACAAGTTTCTATATTTAGTCCATTTTCGCTTTAAAATATTTCTTTCGGATTCTTTTTTTATATATATTGTTTTAATATAAAAATGCATTTAAATATTTATAATATATATAATTATAAATTTTTATACATCAAACGGCATAAATGCTAATGAATAAACTTCAAATATATCATGATTATTTATAGAACATATTTAAATAACATCTTCAGCAAATAATAAAAATGGAACTTCATATATATATTATATTCCTAAAAATGCTGAAAACTTTTTTTATATTAAAACTTTTTCTGAGTTTATTCTATTGGTAATTTCTAAATAATATTTATATGTATATATATATGTTAAATTTCTCTTTTTATTTTTAAAATTTACCTGTTTCATATATTTTCTTATTTTTTTCAATTATCAATTTTTTATTAACTTCAGGTTTTTTTGATTTATATTCTAACTTTTTTGTTTATTTCCATATTAATATATTTATATAAATATATAATTTTTACTTCGAATCGACTTGCATATGTATTTACTTGTACTACTTAAATATTTTAGTAATTAACTTTTTTCTCTAAAGGATTTTCAACTTAAGATTTTTAATTTGAACCACCAAAATCATTTGTGGCTAATAATTTCATATATTTCATTTTTCTTTTTATATATTTTCACTATTAGTTATAGTTAAATATAAATTGTTTATTTTTATTTATTTATTAAAAATGTATTTTTTTAAATATATTTTATAAAATAATTTTTTTTATAATATAAAATGAAGGCAAAATATTTTTTTATTACTATATATATATTACTCTCTTTTTTTTATTCAATACAAATATAAATATAATTTAAAAATAATAAATAATTTATAAACAAACATAATTTATATAGAAACTATTTATAAATATTTATTTTATGTATAAAACCTCTTTTTTTAAATAAAATATTTTCATATTTTATTTTATTCTAATTATGAATTTAATATATTTACATTATCAAAATTAAAACTTTGTTAATTATTATTTTATTATAATATTGATCTTTAACTTTTTAATTAATCTTTAATAAATCCTATTAAACTTTCATCACTTTCACTTAATAACACTTATTTAAAAAATAAAAAGAAAAAATATAATATTTAAAAATTACTATTATTTTAAATGTTTATATAAGTATTTTTTTTTATATTAACTTCTAATTATTAATTTTTTTTTAATCTTATTTATATAGCTTTAATAAGTTTTTTTATTATATTAGATTTATTAATAATTTCATTTAAATTCTATTATTATTTAAATATAAAATTTTTTAACATTTCATTTTAATATTAAATATCGTTTGTTTATATAAAATTCTAATTTTCAAATTAATTTTAATTTTCTGTTTAGGTTTAAAAATGAGATTTATTATTTTATTTTTATAAAATTTATATTTAAAATTATAATTACTAAACTATTTTTTCTTATTAATAAAAAAATTCTTTTTTTTATGAATTTTTTTCATTATTAAAATTTTCAACTTCAAAAACTTTTATTTAAATTTTTTTAAAAATTTCATTTAAAAATTTTTCTTTAAATTATATTTTTTCTAAAAAAAAATCTATATTTTATTATTTATTTTTTTAGGAAAAAGATTAATTTTTTAAATTTTCATTTATTTAAACTAAAAAACTTTTTCTTTTATATATTTATGAATAAATACTTTTAATATTTTATATTTTTTAAGAATTATGTTAAAGAGATAATCTTTTTTCACATTTTTTGGATTTAAAAAACTAATTATTATTAGAAATCGAAAAATTTTTATTAGAAAAGTTCATTTAATCATATTATTTTGATTATTTTGATTATAATTATAATTATTATTATTATTATTATTATTATTATTATTATTATTGTTATTATTTATTTTTTTTTATTAATAAATAACTAATTCATCAATTTTTATTTTTTTTTAATTCAAAAAACTATTATTTTAATTTAAATTATTTACTTATTTATTATTTTCTTATAACTTTAAATTTTATTCATTTTTTTTATTTAATATTTTTTAAATTTTTTTTTAAAAAATTAAATTAAAAATATACCTATTTATTCTTTATTCCTAGAATTTGCTAATATTTTTAATTATTTTGTATATATCTTTTTTAAAATTTATAATCAATTTATTTTTCATTTATCTTTTAAGAAGATAGACTATTTATATTTAAATTTTTACAAATAGAATCACTAGAAAACGTATTTTTATATTACATATTTATTTCTTTTTTTTTCAAATTTTATATTAAATCCTTATTTTATTCTTTCATCAAATTATCAATTATTTTTTTTTTAAAAAAAAATTATTATTTTCTTATAAAATATTCAAGATTGTTAATATGGTACAATATTTTTTTTTTTATAATTATTTTTTTTAAATAAAAAACAGAATTTTTTAAACAAAACAAAATTTTATATAAATTTTTGTATTTTTTTTAAATAAAATATATATATATTTTATTCTAAAAACACATCTAAATTAAATAGATTTTAATTTTTCTTTTTTAATATTAAATAAAATATATAACACCAAAAAAATTAATATATATATAAAAATTTTTAAAAAATATAAAATATATATAATAAAAAAATCATATAAATTTATATTTTTTATATATATAATAATATTATCATCCTTCCTATCCAAATTCTTAAGTAAACTAAATTTATTTTACAATATCTTAAGGAGAAACTGATGGTTTACATTTAGTTAAAGCCACTTCGAAGTGATCTAAAGTAACATTTGACAATTTTAAAAGATTTCCTTAAATATTCATTAAATTATTTGGTTTTCCTTCCGGATCAGAAGGTGCGCATGCTTCCCATTTTTGAACTCCATCTTTCGGATCTACCACAAGTTTAAAACTAGTTGCTCTCTAAGCTATTCTTAATGGTTCATAAGACGCATCTCTAACTAAAATAGACAAATCAGACCCCGAATATCCATCAGTCTAATCTGCGATAAAATTAACTTCCTCTTAATTTAATTCATTCGGTGTTTTTTCAATAAATTATTCAATAATGCCATTCTAGCCTCTTTTTCAGGTAAAGGAATCATTATTCTTTTCTCAAATCTTCTCCTAATAGCCGGATCTAATCCCCATGGAATATTAGTGGCACCCAAAACCAATATTCCAGTATCATCATTTCCTACACCTTACATTTAGCAAAGAAACTCCGTTTTTACTCTTCTTGTAGCATCATTTTCTCCATCTGATCTAATAAATATATTTATATATATACATATATTAATAAATATATATAATACCTTGAACCAGTCATAGAATCTATTTCATCAATAAATATAATAGAAGGTTTTTTTTCCCTTGCTATTTTAAATAAAGTTTTAATCAATTTCTCACTTTCTCCTACCCATTTAGATATTAAATCGGAACTAGAAATGGAAAAAAAAGTCGCTTCGCATTCAGTAGCACAAGCTTTGGCTAAAAAGGTTTTTCCAGTACCCGGAGGTCCATATAGAAGTATACCTTTCCAAGGCTATCGAGAACCGGTGAATATATCAGGAAATTTCATTGGTAAAATTACGGCTTCATGTAATGCTTTTTTTGCATTATGTAAACCTGCAACATCATCCCAGTGTACATTTGGTTTTTCAGTCACTATAGCCTCACTAAGGGCATTTTCAAATTTTTGACCTTCTTTGTTTTCTTCTCTTATTTTTTTATTTTTATATAAATATATATAGATATAAATAATTATATGTGTATTTATTTTTTTACTTTGTAGGACTTGTAATATTATTTTATGGATTCAGTTTGCTTTATTATTAATTATCATTACATTTATTTTATTAATTGTTTTATGGATTTTATTATTGTTATTATTATTATTTTAAAAAATCAACTTATTTTTTCATATTTGCTGCATCATCTAAAAAAGCATTTATTTTTGGTTTTAAAATATTCTTTAATTCACCGTTTGTTTCTTATTTATAGTAATTAACTAAATCATCGATTCCGCTTATAGCTAAATTGTATCCAGCTTCTCGTTCAAGTAAGGTTAATTCAGTTTAGTTAAATTTCGTTATTCCTACTTGTATTTTTTATAAAGATTTATCCCTTAAGTTAATTAAATAATTTGTATTCATATTTTTTTTATAATAGATAAAAAAAAATTTATATTATAATAATAATATATATATTATAATAATAAATATATATATATATATATATATATATATATATTTATAAATAAATTTTATTTCTTATTTAATTATCATATAAATATTTTAATTATATTTATATTAACAATAAAATTGACATAAAATATTTAATGTTAATAAACTATATTTATATAAATAATTATTTTCAAAATTCAGTAAAAGTTAATATAGCTAGATCTAATTCTATAATTGACATTTCTAAATTCATTATCATTTTAATACAATATAACCAATCTTTTTGCAATTAATCATCATTAATTTTTATTTTTTTTAATTCCTCTAATTATTTCTCTTTGTTATATGCCGTTTAAAGTCTATATCTGACATTTATTAAAGTCTTTTTGTATATATTTTTATAATTTATATAATTATATTTAAAAATAAATAAGAAAAATATAATCTTATTTATAGATATTTTATTATAAAACATTATGTATATATAAATGTATATATATGTATATATATATATATGTTTATATATATATTTTATATTATATATTTTATATACATAAATATTATATTATAAGGCATAAAAATTTTAATATAAAATTACCTGATAATACAATTCTATAATTTTTTAATAAGCATTATTTTCATCAAATTTAAACATGCTTAATATATTTACAGTTTTATCTTTTTCTTTTATTTCTACATATTCTAAAAAACCGTCTGTACATAATTAATTTAAATATTTTTAAGTATCTTTTAAACTTTATAATGAAATTTCACTTATCTTATTTTAATAAAATAAAAAAAATACAAAAAAATATTTAAATATATATATTTTATTTTTTTACTGCTTTTTCTTCTAAAAACTTATATTTCTTCATAATTCTTATTATTCTTCCCGCAATTTATCCATATTTTCTTTCAATAATTTTTGTTAAATGCCTAAATTTCATTTTTTTAATAATTTTTTCTAAATTAACACTAAAAAACTCCATATTCCCTTAATAGTCAATATTAATGAATTTCCCTCCATCTCTTCTCATAATTCTCAATAATTTCCCTAAATCTTCTTCATTTATTTTATTTTTTAAAAAGCCTTAAATTTATTACAAATTTAATAATTCCGAGTTTTTCACTTCTTTACTTTTTCCTATTTTTTGACTTTATTTTAACATTCCATTTAGAATTTAGCAAGCCTAAATATTCAATTTCCCCTAGGCTAGTTTGCATATTTACTCTGTCCTAAAATCATGTATAAACTACCTATTATTTAATTTATACTAATACCCGATTTTAGTATTAGGATCATATAAATATAGGTCTTCTTCTTGTTTTTCTAATTCATCTTCTTAAGTCTTTATTTTTTTTTTCCAGTTTTTTGTTAAATAGGATTTTTTTTTCTTTTATTATTCTTTTAAATAAATTCCTCTCCTTAGTTTTCTTCAATAATATTTTCTTGTTTTTAATAAATTTCACATTTCGATAAATAATTGCCTTTAACTAATTTTAAAAAAACATATTTCAATTCATTTTTATTTCCTTATTAAGTTTCTTATAGTATATTATTTATACATTCATCTACATTAGTCTAAGAGTTATGTAAAAAATACTCAATAATATTTTCACCTTATTGCCCAAAATATTAATTAATATATTTTAAATAAGAAGGAAACCTTAAAATATGAAAAACCATTTAAATATTTATATAATAATAAATATTTTATTCAATTTTTTAATGTTAAATTATATTGTTTTTCATTAATAATATAATTAATCGTTTTATAGTTTGATCACTAAATAAATCTTTTAGTTCTTCACTTATTTATGATAATGTTAATTTTTGTTTTAAATGGATTTATGATGTTAATTAACCGCATTCTTTGCCGTATTCTACTTCTATAATCTATTGTAAAAGTCTTGCCTGTTATTTTAATATTTATGTGGATTCTATTTCCATTTATATATGTATTTTATATTAGTTTATATATTTTTATTTTATATAGTTATATAGTTTTTATTTCAATTATATTTTAATTTAATTTAAGATTTTTTATTTTTTAATACTATTTAATATTTTTTTTATATTAAATAAATTAAATATAAAAGATATATATATATATAAATACATATATTTATTATATTATTAATTAAAATGAAAATAATAGATAATTGGAAAATTTAAAAATCATGATTAAAGTGTAATTGAAAATCTTTTATTTTATAATATTAAATTCTAAATAAAAATAGATGATTTTATAATTAATTAATAGAACATATATAAATATATATATATATATAAATATATAAATATATATATATATATATATAATAATATTTAAAAATTTATATTATTTTATATATTTAAATATACATTTTATTATATATACATACATTTATTTATATTTTTTATATTTTAATATATTTGCATACAAAATATAATTTAATATAGATACAATATAATATTTTTATGAAATAAACTTTTTATATTTTTAAATATAGTTTTTTTTAATTAAATATATATAAAAAAGTTAAGTTATATCCAAAATAAATAAAAATTTTAAAAAACATATTATTTATTAATTTTTATTACTAATTAAAATAAATGACTAAAAATATTTTAATTATAACTGGTGATTTCGTTGAAGACTATGAAATAATGGTCCCTTTCTAAACTTTAGAATTTTTAGGCTATAATGTTCACATAGTATGTCCTGAAAAAGACGAAGGTGCCCTCCTTAAGACTGCAATTCATGATTTTGAAGGCGATTAGACCTACACTGAGAAACCCGGTCACCATTTCAAGTTAAATTATTCAATTAAAAATGTTAAACCAGAAACATATCATGGCCTAGTACTTCCAGGAGGTAGAGCTCCTGAATATTTAAGACTTCATGAAACAGTTCTTACGATAACTAAGCATTTTGTTGATTCTAAGAAGCCTATTTTGTCAATATGTCATGGTATTTAGATACTTACAGCTATTCCAGATGCTATTAGAGGCTATAATATTGCTGCTTATTATGCATGTGAGCCTGAAGTTAAATTAGCTGGAGCTAATTTCTTGAAATTAGATGCTAATAAAGCTATTTTACATAATAATATTGTCTCTACACCTGCTTGGCCTGGGCATTAAGACTCTATTAGGAAGTTTTCGGAATTGTTAGGAACTACTATTACTCATAAATGAGTATTATATATTATTATTATTTAGTTTTATTTTTATATATAAAATAAATAAATTTTTTAAATATAAAAAAAATGGTCATATAAAATAATCTTTTACAATACTAAAAAAATTCGGACAAATCAAATTTAATATACTAATATTTTCATTTAAATTCTTAAATATAATTTTATTCTAATAAATCTATATTTTCTTCATCTTTTTATCTTTTTGAATAAAATAGCAACTTTTGAGAAATTTTCTCATATATTACTCCGAAAACTCACGCAAGCTTATTTTTTTTAACAGTTTTAAATTTTCAATTTAAATCATTTAATATTAAAGTTAATACTAAACAATTTCTATAAGCTGTATAAATCTCCACAATTGCATTTTAATTTCACGAAAAGATTCTTTTATAATTTATTTTTCACATAAAAAAAGTACATATATAAGCCGATTACTATTCTTAAAAAATAGAGCCTATCCCTAACCGAAATCAATTAATAATAATTTAATAAATTTCCCTTTTTTTAGTTATTCTTATAGACAGAATAGGGTGCTTAATTTCCTATATAAAAAGTTTGTTTTTTATTAAATTTTGGAATTAAATTTATTTTATTTTGTAAGAATTTAGAAAATAAAAAAATGTTTTATTTAATAATTATTAATTAATTTTTGTTTATATACATATCGCTATTTATAAAGAAATTGTAAATTATTAATTAATATAACGAATAGAAAATATTGGTTTAGGTATTTTTTTAGACTTTAGTTTTTAAATTTTATAAATTCGAGAAGAAATTCTTTCCTTTTTTTATTTCTTTTTTATTAGTATGTGTATTTTATTTTCTAAATAATATAATTCAAATATTCTGATAATATTTTTATATAAAAAAAACATCATATTAAGAATATATATGTTTATTTTTAATATTATTATAATATTCTTAGAAATTATAATGATATTTATGTAAAATATTTATATTTTAATTATATTCATATAATTAAGAGTATAAAGTTAAATTTTTTTTTTTTTTTTGAAAAAAAAAAAGTATTTTTAGGCGAAAATATATAATTTCTTTTTACTTTTTTTTAAAAAAACTTTTGTTTTTGTTTTATTTTCATTTTATTTCCAGAAAACATAAACCAAGCTTTTTAATTTAATTATAAATTCCTTTTTTTTCATATTTTTTTGATATTATTATATATCCGTTATTTTATGTTTCTTTTTTAAAAAAATATAATTCAGATTGTTTTAATATAAAAATAAGATCTTTTATTCATAAATAATATATATTATTTTCTTCATTTTTAATATTTTATCATTTTTTATTCATGTTAAATAAATGCTTTAACATAAAATACCTTAAAAAAACAACAATTTAAATTATTTAATTTATTATTAATCCTCATTTTTAAACTATTCTTATTTTTTTTAATTTCTACTATTCGTATATTCTTTTATTTTATATTTATTTTTATATATATTCATATTCTTTTTTTTTATTATTATTTTTTTGATCTATTATTTATTTGTTCATTATAAATTTAATATTTTTTTTAAAAAAAATATGATAAAATTTAAAAACTTTTATCTAAAAAAAATAAAAAAAAAATAATAATTATAAATAAATAAAAAATTAAAAAAAATTCATAATTTTTCCAACTTATATAAATTAGCTTCTAACGCATTTTTTTTTAAATCTTCTAATTTTATTAACTATTTTAATTTCCTTATAAGCCCATCTTAATTATCAGAAATCAATTTATTTTATAAAAAAATGCTTTCTCCGTAAATACTTTCCAAATTAGCTTCTGTTCTTGAAGCATTTTAGCTATCATCACTCTCATCTCTTATCAAATCTTTAAATTTAGAAACACCTTATTGACTTTAATTTCTTTTGATTATATAATACCCTGTACTTTTTAAATTTTCGAGTTTCTTATCAGGATTAAGATTTTATTTAATATTTTACAAATTTGGCTAAGAATAGTTGTATTTATGCGATTTTTTGGTAAAAAATTTATTTGGTTAATTGATTTAATGAATATTTCGTGGAGTAAAAAACATTTTCCCGACTTTTTTTTTGTCTTTTTCTTCTTGACGCATTTTTAAAAGTATTTATTTATAATTTTTTTTTGGTTCAAATATTTATTTTTAACCATTAAATATTTTATTTATTGACTAAATCATGTTTTTATCTTGAAAATTAGATAAATCACTTATTTAATTTATATACATTTTTTCAGTTTAATTTTATTCTTTATTTAATTCTAAAAAATCTCTACCTTAAAACCTAAATATTAAATAAAATATATAATATTTAAAGATATATATATATATATATATATATATATATATATATATAATATTATATATATATATTTATATATATTTTTATATATACATAAATTCTTTTGATTATTTATTTTTATCAGATTTATTATCTAGAGAACATTTAGTTTTATCTTTTTTTTTATTTTTTTTATTTTTGCCAGAATTAGATTTATTTAAATAAGACTAAATAAATTTATCATATTCACTATCACTTTTTAAAATTTTATGCCTCAATTTATAATCATAAGGATTTTATAATTTATAAATAAATTTATTTGCATTTTCATCAAAAAATCTTTTATATAAAGGTTTATAAGCACTAAACTCATTTTTAAGATCATTTTTTAACTATAAAATATTATCAACAAGATTATATTTATCGTCAGAAATTTATTAAATAATACTTAAATTTCTTAAAGATTTATTAATATGAATACCTTTACTATTTATATCCTTATTTAAAAAAAGTAAAATATAACAAATAAAATTATTAATAATAATATATATGTAAATTCATACTTTATTTTCAAGTTTTTCTTTATAATTATTTTTAATATGAGATAAATTCGAAAAAAACTTAGTATTAGAAATTTTTTAATTACCCGTATTATTTGTTTCATCTCCTTTTCTAAAAGCAACATTATTCGAAATTGCATTTTTTAGTTTTTTTAGTGAGAAATTTAAGTGATTTTACATTTATTTTTAAGTTATTTTTTCATTAAATTATTCTTTAAAATTTTTAAAAGATCTATTTTTTTCACTTATTTTTCGAAGATTATTAATAATCAAATTTTATTATTTTACAGATTTTTTTTAAACATTATTATTATCTATTTAAAAATTTACCTTTTTTTTGCTTTTTATTTAATTCATAAAAATCCCTTTTTAATTAAATCCTTCATAATCATTATATTTTCTTTAAAAACTTATTTTTCTATTGAACTCTTCATCATCAAAATAATCATCTTCATCATCTTCTTCCTATTCAGAGTTTACATATTCTCCATCTTTTCCATTTTCTTCAATTTTTTAAATACCTTTAACTTACTATATATATAATTATAAATAAAACAGTTTTGGTTCTGGAAACCCATCATATAAAGTAGGAAAATTCCTGATATATAATAACTCTTCCTCGTTGATTTTTCCATTTAAATATTCTGAAAAAGTTTAGTTTCTTATTTTTTCTTTTTTTGATTTGAACTATATTACTGGTTTTAACGGAGAATATAAATTATATGGATCTTATATTTGTGTATTATCAATTTTTTATTTTTTAAATTGGAAATTATTTATTGGTTTTTTATTTGGACTTAAATTTATTTTTTTTAAATTTTCGAAAATTTATTATTTCATAGTTTTTAAGTTTTTTTATTAATTATTTGATTTTTCATTGTATTAAGATATATATATATATATATATATATATATATATATATATATAAATTTATTTTTTTAACTGATTGTAATATTTTATTAATATTATTTAATGATTATTTTTGTGATTTATAATATGAATAAATGATATAAATAAATTTATATTTTTAATATTTAAAAGTATTTTATTTACATATTAAATTAGGGAAAATGTATTTTTTATTAATATTAACTAATCATATTTTTTTTTTTTAAAAAAAAAAACATCTTATTTATTTATAAAATTTAAATATTTATATATTTTTTTTCATCAAGCTTCCTATAATTATTGTATATTTTATTATAGCTAAATTACTTTTTTTTAGTTTATAAAATAGCTTTATCAATTTACAAATCTCTTAAAATATATCTTAATTTCTTTTTTATATATTTATATAAAATAAATATGTTATAAAACAGATTTAAAAAATATAAAATTTACTCTATATCCTTATTAAATATAAGGAATAGTACTTTAATAGAATTTAAGAATTCTTAAATAAATAATAGCTAAAATTATCTTATAAAAAACACCAAAATATACAAAAGCTAAACTAAAATAAAATATCCCTTTGTTTTCTGATTACCCAGTCAAAATCTAATGTTTTTCTCCTTTATTTAAAAGGAATAAAATATCTAAAATAATCGAAAAATATAAAGCATTTATTATTTATCTTATATATTATCCACTTAACTTTTCTGTATTAATTAAAGTCATTATACTTATAGAAATTATAATCTTTTTTTATATATATAAAGAATAATATAAAAAATAAATTACATCTAAATTTATATTTTTAGCATATTATTAAAATAAAAAAATAGGAAAAAGCAGCAAATTTATCCACATAACTAAAACACCCCAACATTTAACTTTATTATATATATAAATAGATAAAAAATAAATAAATAAATAAAATACTATATTTCCCTAAATTATTTTCAAAAAAATCGGTAATTTCCCCTTCTAAATCCGTTATTAAAATCTCTTCATTTTATTCTTTTCCTTCTTGATTAGTTCCCATATTATTTTATATATTAAGATTTTAAATAACACTTTCATCATAAGTAATCCCTAAATTTTGTCCTGCAATAGAATTTAAATTAATTTTTTAGAATCTTTGAAAAGAACTCATATTTTTTTTTACTTAAAAATTATCAATTTATTTCTTTTATTTTTAACTAAAAAAATATATTTCAAAAAAAAATAAAAAAAATACTTTTAATAAAATTTATTCATTAAAAGTAATTTTTTATTCTTTAACGTAATCATTTGAATAAATAACCGAACTAGTACTAATACTATATGAAGTATGATATTCTTCAAAATTATTAAAATCAAACAAAATAACACACTCTCTATTTTAAGGCACCATAATTTCTATTTGAATTTCATATTCCTTTTTTTTATATTCCTCACTTGTATCAAAAGGGAAAACAGGGGTTAATCCTTTAATTTTAAATTTTAAAATTTCTTTAAGAATTTAATCAACTTCTGTATTTTTATAATACATATAAAAAGACCCAAATTTATACCCATATCGTTTTTCAATCAAAGGACAGTTCATATTATTTTTATCATATATAGTGATTTTTTATTTGCTTTCATTCTAAGCTTATGTAGATAAAGAATAATATTTAAATCCGATTTTTAAAATATCTAAAGGGTCTATATTTTAAATATATTAGAAAGATGTAATTTTATCTGAATAAGAACCTATTATATTTTATATTAATAAAAATCTTTTGTTTTTTTATATATATATATATTTTATTTAATGACTTATAGATATATTTTTGTATATATTTTATTCCCAAAAAACTTAAGTAATAATTAAAAAATCTCCTTGACCATTAAATTCTAATTAAACGTTTCTATTACATTCAAAAACTGCTCCAATGAATTTATATTCAATTTAATTAATAGTTTAAAAAACCATTAATCTAACTAAAGAATATTTATATTATTATCCTTAATTTTAATCAAAAAAGCGATTATCTTTCTAATTTACAGATATAAAACAATGAGTTTAATATTTTAACTTAATTTATACTAATTTAATATTACTTTAACTTAAATCACAAGAAATACTATTATAAGAATAATCTTTTCTAACTTTACAATTACCAATTCCTAAAATAATAAAAATTAGGGATAAAAATAAAATATATATTAAAAGATAAATATATATTTAAAATAAGTGTATTTTAAAAATTAGATTAATAAATACCTTCAAAATATTTAGAAAAATCCTAAATAGACATCCAAAAAGTACCATCATTAGAATCTACTAAATTTAATTATTGCCTTAATTAAGGAGTCCATTTTTTTGTAAGAATCAGACCAATCTCCTGT